GGGAATTACGAAAGCGGAGTGGCAAGACAGGCTGCCCAGAAAGCTTGCCTTGCCTCCATCCGTGGAGATGGCTGCAGCCTGGGTGACACACTCGGGGTGACCTGCTTGAGCCGGGGAGGACAAGACGCACTCCAGCAGTCCCCTCCAGCCTCCATGGTTCTGCAATTCTATATGGTTCTGTGATTAATATGGTAAATAAACTGACAGCTGGCTAAACACGATGTAACAACAGAGAAAAAACTGAAAAAGAAACAACCCCTCCTTAGCCGCTTTTCTTCATAAAATGTTTCCTACTTACAAAAACATAGAATCATAGAATCACTTTGGTTGGAACATCTTCTCTTAACCACTACTTCTCAGATTCTTAGAAATGTTACCAGATGCCTTTAGTGTATAGTAGTCAATGTATAAGCACTAATGACTATTGATTCTGGATAAAATTTAATTGCAAGTCTCATAACATTACAGGCAAGCCGGTCTAATGCTGGTATTGCAGCAGCATGTACAAACCCCACCAGAAGTTCAGTGCCTATCCGCTGATTGGCATGGCTGCTAAATGCCAACACCCTCCTAGAGTTTCAGTTCCCTGAAAAGAAATTGAACAGCCAACATCCTCTGCAGGTCCTCGAGCCCCTGTCAAGTCCTGTTGAGAAGTAGTATTTGCTTTTCATCCCTTAATCGGCCTTAATCTTATAACTTTCCTCTCAGCTTTCTTTCCTCCTGAATTTCCAGAAAGATAAAACATTGGTAACAAATTAACATAAACCCCTTTCCTATTAGATATCCTATTATAATCTACCTATTAGATTCAGGCAGTAAAATTGCTTAAATTCAGTATTACACTGATGTTACTATTTATCCACTACCTAAATTTTTTTTCCAAAGTTGATGCTTCAAAAAAATACAGATTTCCGCACGGTAAACAGGATCTACATGATAACTGGAGATGTACAACAGGCAGATTATTAAACGCCACCTCTTCAGTATGTTGTTTGTCACAGCGTTCTGCCTCAACCAGCGATCTGATCAGGGATGATGGGGTGTTTTCCTTCAAGCCAAACTTCTAAAATAAACAGAGAGATGGCTAATTGTGTGCATACATACAAAAAAAAGCAGAGGAGAAAAATCTAATCCATGCACTACCTTACCCCTAGATGAGCTTTACTGTGCAGTTTTGGATGAGAGAACACAAATAAAAAAACCTCACCCATCTGTGAGCCACCAGCTAGCCAGTTCCCTCATTCTGTCACACTTCATGTGACTCTAAATACGTAACAGCTCACATTTTGCCTCAGTCAAGATATTATAATGCATGAGAACTACTAAGAAATCGAGCTTCTGCAGCTCTACCATTCTGTATAGCAATTAACAAATACAGAAATAATTCGGTGACTTCTAGCTTAAGCCCTACTGTTCAATGGTATGAAGGCACCTTACAAAGAAGTTGATGAAGATAACCTACCAAGCTTGTTTGCTGTCCCTGTATAGATGCATAGTTTTATTTTCTATGTCGATTACTGGTAATTACTCTCTAATTCAAGTGCACATTAGCCATTCCATTAATCTCATCACTGACTGGAAAAAACGAAGTCAAACACTTGACATCCAGAAGATCTGGAGAAGCTGATCATCTTCTAGTTCCATTTCAGATAAAATGGCCAATTACTACCTTTGGGACAACACTGAAGAGGAACAAACAACGCTAATGAGAATGAGTATGCATAAAAAAGTTAATGGAAACAGGAAGCCAGAAACAAATATCTTAGACACTAAGCAGCTAGAGAGAGGAGCACAGTAAAAATTAATTGTTCAAATTTTCTTGTGACCTGGCTTTTTAGTTTGTTCATGCTACCTTGCAAAGTAACACGATAAAGAAACCTGCAGATGCTGTACCTGATGGTACCGTGAGGCACAGGTGAGCGTTACAAGCCCATCTGTAGAGCAGGTATTGCTAGCAACAGAATGCCAGAGCGTATTAATGGACATCTCCCTGTTAGGTCACTGACCTCTTATCAAACCAACCAACCCCAAAGTCCCCTGCCCCTGACTTTGGGCTGTTAATATATACCTCTGTACAAAATAAAAAAAAAAAAAAGTTTATTTCACTAAGAGAAAAATACAGACCACTTAGGATGAAGATTTAATATTACTTCTTCAGAAGTCTTGTCTTTACGGTGAATTCAGAAGTCTACACGACAGCTAAAAACACTGACTGCGGCCCTTCAGTAAGATGGAGAAAAAGCAACACTGTATCATCAACTAAATTGACTGGATTGCAAAACAAACGCTATAGAAGAAAGTGTGGTTTTTTTCTCCCCAGAAGTTGGTATATGCTTAACACTTCAGGCCAGAAAGAAGCACAGTTCAAAGTTCAACTCCGAAACAATTACAGCAGCTCAACTTGTCACTGTGATGTTAGTCCTTTTCTGACTACTGCAAGTCTCTAGTCCCCGTACGTCAGGACTTTTGTTTACTCGCTCCTTCTCTTGCTAGTCTGTCAGCTTCTTCATTTCCTTGGAATCCAGAATGACCGGGAATATGCATCTGTTGGGACAAGAGTATAGGAGCGTTAGATATGCAAGAAAAAGAAAAAGTACATACATGAAATGTGATCATGCAGCACCCTTTCACTCACAGGACAGCAGCACTCCTTAGAGACCCTCTCCTCACACTTAGTCCGTACGTGTTTGTCCCAGGAATGTTCATAGTCTCCCTTTCTTCAGGAAAGTCTTGCCAAATTGTGAAAATCATCTTTATGTGAAGTAGTGAACTGGATAAGGACCACCTAACCTAGCCTCTAAGAAATGCAAACAACAGCTCCAACTCAGAATTCCCACTGTCAGAGAAGACAGAAAATCTTATCTTCATTCAACCAAGCTTAAACCAAGTTAATCTTTTCCCAAAAAGGTAGAAACCTCTATGCCACCAGCAGCCCTGGTGGTTACAGCACTCAGGATGCAGGAACAGGGTATGAAAACAATCTCTGGTTTTAGATGTCCTAACTGTCCACGCTTCCAGTAGGAACTGGAAACACTTTCAACCCAAGCCCCATCCTTGTCAGAATTAAGGGTGGAGGAATGTGGGGGAAGAAGGAGGAGAGGAAGAAAATCAAGCTTGCTATTTGGCAAGATCTGAGAGGGGACAAGCATGAAGCGTGTGCGAGATGGTATTTGGTTTATACAGCAAGGTTTTGGTACCTGGCAGGGGGCTGCAGCGGTGGCCTCTGTGAGAAGAGAGCAAGCCAGTGCCAGCCCGCTCCAAAATGGACCCACTGCAGGACACAGCTGTGCCCATCAGGAAAGCTGGTAGTGTCTGTGATAATGTATTTAAGAAGGCGAGGGGAGCGAGAACATGTGAGAGGAGCAGCCCTGCAGACACCAAGGTCAGTGCAGAAGGAGGGGGAGGAGGGGCTCCAGGTGCCAGAGCAGTCCCTGGTGCAGCCCATGGTGGGGCAGGCTGTCCCCCTGCAGCCCAGGGAGGCCCACAGGGGAGCAGATCTCCACCTGCAGCCCAGGAAGGACCCCATGCTAGAGCAGGTGGATTACCGTATGTGTAAGTGTATGCATACCCTGCTCCTCCTGAAATAAAAATCTTCCCAAGTTTAAGAGATTCAGGTGTAAGAAGGGTGCATAAAGCAACAATTTTTTTTTTATTATGTAGAATACTCTAAGGTCAGCTGAACTTTGGTCTTAGTTTGAAATTTTTACACTTTCTTCTCCTCAACAGACAATAGGAGTAGTTATATAAAATCTAGTCAGCCTTTAAATGGGAGTTGCCAACCCTGGAACACAGAACAACATGAATAGAAAAATATCTGTGACATTTCCCATAGAAGAAGCACACATTGAAGATCTACATCATCCTGTTTTCTATGGAATACAGACAGAGGCCCAATAAATATGCCATTAGTAGCCACAAAGTCAGTTGTACAGAGATTTGTTTCTAGAATCAATAGTCTTATACCACAATTAGAGTAACATGTAGGAGGAGGAGAGTGAAGATACCCCTTACAGTGTTTAGCACTGACGTTACAGGTTACAGAAAAATACATTTTAGCAGGAATAGCTGTATAGAAGTTGTTTTACTTCTTTACTGGAGAGCAAAACAATTTAAAACTTAAAAATGGGTATTTAAAAGACCTTCCTGTCCAGTTAAAGTACAGAAAACTAGACTTAGTTTACTTGGGATTATACTCTCTTAGCTTTCCTGGTTCAAAGACACTCATGTGATTGAGTTACACCAACAAGCCAGCATCTTAAGAGTTCTGAAAAGCGCATCCAGAAATTCAGCTACGACTCAAAAAGACACAGTTATGTTTTATGCTTAGATTTCCAGGAACAGAAATTGGATCTACTTACAGTACTAACTAACAATAATTATTGCAGGTATTTTCTATGTAGCAACAAGAGAGAAAACAAATACAAGCATGCATTTTAATAAATGAAATACTGGTTCCAAGATCCTAGAGTACGTTGCTTATTTGCTTTAAATAGAACAAGCAGCTTTTCTGTATCTATGGTTTTATTTATGGATGTACACTATTATGCTCTATAAAATTCTTAGCTGTGGTCACACTTGCAAGTTTTTACAAGAAGAGCGTTTAAGATGTCATTATGAACAAGATATGAGGTGCTTACCCACTGAATTTCTATGCCTTTTGATAGATTATCAAGTCTTTCAAAATCTTCTTTATTTATTACGCTTCCTCCTGAACTTGTTCTCCAGCCATTTGTTTTCCAGTTGTCAACCCAGCTCGTAATACCTAGGCAAAAGGAGCATTACCATAAAAATGCTATTAAAGAAGCCAGCAAGGATCAAGATGGAGCAAACAGCTTTTTAACAAGACATCAACTCCATACAAAGTCTCAGGCAAAGACACCAGAGACAGAAAATATTCTTGTTTAGTTCTCTACTACTGTCTTTCAGGATTGTATTTTTCTGTTATTAAATTACCCAACGACATTTTCCTCAACAGATATTTAATTTAAAGACTATAATCTTATATATATGCATTACTCATGAAATTACAACATGAACTTCAATAAACTGAAGCTAAGGATTTGCTTGATGGTACAGTAAGCTAGAACAAATCCATGGCTCTATTTGTTTTGAGAAACTGAGGAGACACACACACACATAGAGGAAAAACAGATGGCTACTTGTCAGCGAAGGAACACATAAGCAGATTTCTACAGAACAAGATTTAAGATTCTGGCCATCCCTTGCTGGCCACAAAATTTACTATATTACTCCTTAAATAAGGATTTTTATTTTTTGTTTTTTTAAATATCTTTTCTGGTCTCAACAATGCAAGACATCCTTATTGTTTTCATGACAAACAGACCCAAACCAAATAGAGAATCACCAGTCTTGCACACAAAACCTCCTAAACACCAAAACACATCCATTTGTACTTAACCACAAGCCTCCTTCTGTGGTATGTAAAAAAAAAAGACACATACAAAATAACTTTGATTAAACAAGAGTGGAACCTACACCTCAGTGACCCAAACCACAACAGCAAACTGCAAACAAAACCAAAGAAACTGAGACATTGCACCTAAAGATTCTTCTTTTCCTCCCTCATACTTAAGTCTCACACCTAACAGGAATTTTATCCCACACAGTAGCTTTTCCTCCTTCGTAACACCAGTTTCACAAACAAGATGGTATAGACTTCTCTTCCACAAAGCAAAAGTTGCAAAGATTTTTCTTTGCTCCTTAATACTTCGAACAACTTGCTTCTTGCAATAAATTGTGCATTTGGATTCTACTGATCCACATGCAACATCCAATCTTGCAGAGTAGAGACCCTTTTACTCTTCTCTTTTTCAGAATGCTTCTAGCAGAGATGAAAAAACCCCACCATCAGCAAGAAAAAAACCCAAACCAAACACACAAAAAACCCACCCCCACACATTCTGTTTCTATAGCAAATGCTATACCTAAATCTTTTGGGGAAAATAAGCTACTCAAAAGAGAGATTTAAGAGATGATCCTTAGGGAGAAGCAATGGAAAATTCCTTTAAGTTGTTTCTTAACATTTACTGTCCCTTCCTCATCTTACAAACTAGAATCAGGAGGAGAGCACAAGTCCTCGATGCTTTTCACTTCTGGACAGAACCTCTTTCACGCATATGCAAGCTAACAGAATTTGAAAAAAGCAGCAAGTGACAGCTCCAGCAACTCCTTCCTTAACTAGCAGTCACTTGTTCCTACTCCATAACTTTCTGTCCTTTTGAGGGTATTGCTACTCAAGGTGACATCAGAGTTTTTCAAGGTAAGTTTTGCTTTACTTCTAAACATGGGCCACTTGAAAAAGGAAAAAAACTGATGTCTTCTTTCGTACTCCTCCACTTTCAGAAATCAGAGGGGTCTTCTGGAAAGCAGAATGACTTACTTGGAGGAAAAGATACAGAGCTTTTTAACATACAAACCATTTATTTGCTTTATCAATAACAAGCAATGAAACGTAATTGCTTTCAGTGTTAGTGCTCAAGTATAGGAAGTTATGCTAAGAACAAGATACTCACATTCTCCCTCCCCGCAAAAAAAAAACCCAAAGTGTGAAAGCACAACATTTAATTTTCAATCAAAAGTTGCAGTAAGTTTTTATTTCAAAAACCAAAACCAACTCCAAAGTGATCTGGAAACAGCAAACCCCTGTACTCCCTTTGTAAAAACATGAAATACAAAGAAAAAATATTTTTGTAGTTCCAAATTATCATGGGAGTAAAATCTGAAGATCTCAGGGAAAG